CCTCGGAGGGACCAGCTGGGGTCTGTGTCCTCCTCCCTGCTGTGGTCCCCCTCGCTGTGCCCCTCAGCACAGTTACTAGCTCTGTCTGCATCCAGCTCAGCTCCGCAGGGGACTTGCTGCCGTGTGGTGCCACTCCTGGGATTCTCTAAGCCCACGGGAAGAAAATCCTCCTCCAGGCTTTGCATGCGTTCAGGTGAACCCCGAGGCTTTCTTCTAGCCGCAGGCGCTGCGGGGACGTGGGCCTGGCAGCGTGTCCTCTCCCTTCCTCCTCAGGCTCCTGAGGATCTGGGCGTTGGAGCTGCGCTCTCCGGTGGCCTTCGCGCCCATGACCAACGGGCTGTGCTGCATGTACTTCCCCCACGGAGGTTTCATTGCCACTGGGTGTGTATGCTTGGGGGGAGAGCAGAGAAACGTGTGGCTGCTCCCTCCTCCTGCAGCTCTGGGCCTCCCTTGGGGGGAAAAAAAGCCTGCAGTGTGGGGACAGTCATAGAATCATAATTTTGTTTGTAGGGAACCTTTCAGATCATCAAATCCAACTGTTCCCCCAGTACTGCCAGGCCACCACTAACCCATGACCCTCAACACCACATCTCCACAGCTTGGAACCCCCTCCAGGGATGGGGACTCCACCACTGCCCTGGGCAGCCTGGGACAGGCCTGGATAATCCTTGTGGGGAAGAAGTTGTTCCTGAGGGCCAATCAAAACCTCCCTGGGTGCAATTTGAGGCCATTTCTTCTTCTCCTATTCAGTTGTTCCTTGGGAGAAGAGCCCGACCCCCAAGCTGCAAGCGTGGGGTATTTGGGGGTAGCCAGACTTTCTCAAACCTCCCCTCCCTCTGCTCACAGCTCGTTTGGCTCTGGTTGCAGGACCAGAGATGGCCACGTCCAGTTCTGGACCGCCCCAAGGGTCCTCTCGTCGCTCAAGCACTTGTGCCGCAAAGCTCTGCGCACCTTCCTGACGACGTACCAGGTCCTCGCCCTCCCCATTCCCAGGAAGCTCCAGGAATTCCTCACTTACCGGACTTTTTAAGGCAGCCTGGAAAGCAGAGGGGGCCCAGAGGCGAGTGCCCTGTGCCCGGCAGCTGGGCCGGGGTGGGGAGGCACCGCAGC